GAGGGGGCGCGCGCCCCGCTCCCCAACGGCCGCTCGCTGCTGGCTCAGCCAGGGCTCCTGCGGCCTGGGCTCCTGCCGCTTGGGCAGCTGCGCGTTGCCCTGTTCTCACCCGTGGCAGTGGGAACGTGCAGCAGCGCCACAGCAGCCAGGGCCAGCGGCTGCACAAGGTGTATGTGGCAGTCATCCCTTTTCCCCGCTTCGCCGAGGGACTGTGGTGGGCGAGGGGAGTGCCCGCTGCGGGCAAGGCCTTTGGCCTGCTTGAAGCAGGAGGAGCTGCGAGGCGCACTATCCAAGTGGCACTGTTGCTTCCCCGTGGCCAGTGCCGTTTGGGGAGGACCAGGGCAGCGCATGCAGTGGGTTTATGCATGTGCTACACGGAGTTTTCAACTCCGTGTACTTTGGAGTAGTCGCAGAGCTTCGTATCTCATTGAAATTGGTTTTGTAATTTGGCTTGCTGCCTTGTATGGCAAAATGAACTGATAGGAGGCACAAGCCACCAGGCAATAGACCAGAGTTGTTTTGATTGAAAGAGCCATTTAGGCTAAGTCCCTAGGCAGTAGATGTGTTTTCATTTTGGGGGCTGTATGTAAAATTCAGGGAAGTAGCAATTAGGCAGGTTGTTGTGATTGGAAGACTGTCATATTTAAAAGGAACRACAAGAGAGAAAGAATCTTCTTGAATCATCAGGACAAAAGGGTAAACAGTAACAGTCACAGTGTAAACATTGTGAAAAACTGTGTGAAGGGTTAAAGGGACATATGAGTTCACAGGTTTGGGTATGCTCTCAGAAAAGACTAAAAACACCACTGATCTTTTTAAACTAGAAGCTGAAAGAGATGGCAGAGCTGGGGGAAAAGTGAAAACTCAGTGGAGCTGGATACAATATACAACAATATGTTTCCAGACAGTCGCACTGTCTTGCTTATGCTCACTGCAAATTCTACCTGCAATTGACTGAATTTCTTTTCCTTTTCATCTTACCAGTGTCTCTACTAGACTCTTTGAATATCTGTGGACTTTTGTCAAATTGTTTTGAGGGTGCCAGAGAGTGGGAAGGAGGTAGAAGGTCAGATATTTCAGCAACGGGAAAGAAAGAACAAAGTTTGCCACCAGCAGTTGCTATTCACATAGCTGTTATTAGTACTGCTATTCAAATCTGATGTTTTCAGTAAATCACTGTGAGCTTCTCTCTGGATTCTTTTATTTTGGACTGAGGAAGTTAAGTTTGTAGTGAGTAAGACTGAACTAACCTGAAACAAAATATTTAAAATTCATATTCTAACAGTATACATCTTATAAGTCATGACATGCCAAGTTTGCAAACTGACTCTGGGCTCGCTGGGCGGTTTTGCATTGGTTATATGACTTCATCAGTAACAACAGGAGATTCAGGCCTTGTAATCTGCTCTGCACGCTGTGAGTGAACGTCTTCCTAAGGAGGAAACCTGAAACCACCTGAGACTGATCTGTAAGCCAGTTGGGCAGTGCTTACTGCAGTGCTATTGACTAGAGGTCAATATAGAGAAAGAAATCTGGTAAATCGGCAAATGTGGTTTCATAAGAAATACTCAGGATCTCATGAGTTTCACTATACTATCTTCCAATTTCAACTTCTTCTTCAACTTCTTTCTTTTTTCTTTTTTTTTTTTTTTAATGTTTATTGTTTTAACTCAAAAGAAGATTGGTGTTTGGAAAGTTTTAATCTTTAGCAAGCCTCATAAATGTAGCAGGAGAACCCCCTGGGTTTAGAATTTAAGGGCTTCAGGAAAACCACTTTGTCACTGTCTCCAAAGTAAAAAGTGGTCTTTCTGTGTCAAGAATCATTTGAGGAAGATAGAATACTGTGCATGCAGGCTGCGGGGAAGTGATTTTTCAATACAGAGACTCTTTTCCATCTGTCTAACAGAGAGGAAGAAGACAGTCTGAAGCCACTGCAGGTTAACACACTGAACTAATACCTCTCTTGCTGGGTTCTGTTATGTGATATGCAAAAATGGTAGGTTCTCCTGCAATCACAATTACTTGAAAATCACCAGTACAGGCTGGGGACTGACCTTCTGGAGAGCAGTTCCATCAAGAGGGACCTGGGCGTCGTGGTGGATGACACGATGACCATGAGGCAGCAGTGTGCCCTGGTGGCCAAGAAGGCCAAGGGGATCCTGGGGTGCATCAAGAAGAGCGTCTCCAGCAGGTCGAGGGAGGTGATTGTCCCCCTCTACACAGCCCTGGAGAGGCCACATCTGGAGCCTGTGTCCAGTTCTGGGCTGCCCAGGACAAGAGGGATGGGGAGCTGCTGGAGAGAGTCCAGCGCAGGGCTACGAGGATGATCAGGGGCCTGGAACATGTGCCCTGTGAGCAAAGGCTGAGGGAGCTGGGCCTGTTCAGCCTGGAGAAGAGAAGGCTGAGGGGGGACCTGATCRGTGTCTATAGATACCTCAAGGGAGGCAGTGAGGAGGAGGGGGCGGCCTCTTTTCAGTGGTGGCCAGCGACAGGACTAGAGGAAACGGCCATAGACTGAAACACCAGAAGTTCCACAGGAGCTTAAGGAAAAATTTCTTGCCAGTGAGGGTGACYGAGCTCTGGAACAGGCTGTCCAGGGAGGTTGTGGAGTCTCCTTCTCTGGAGATCTTCAAAACCCGCTTGGATGCAGCCTGTGTCACCTGCTCTGGGTGACCCTGCGTGTGCAGGAAGGTTGGACTAGATGAYCTCTAAAGGTCCCTTCCAACCTTAAGGATTCTGTGATTCTGTGTTTCGCTCCTGGCAGATCATGTCTGCAGTAGTAGCATAGCTTATTTAAAAGGCACCTGGCAACTTGCCTTGCTTCAGGTATGTGAGRCAATGTCAGGTTTAGCTGAAGAACAGCCATACTAAGCCTCATCACTTCCACACACGCGCTGAAAGAAACAGCCCTTCTAGTTTGCATTCCCTCCTTCCCCAGTTTCAGCTCTGTGCACTTGTGTCAAGACTGAAGTTTTGCTGCTGTTCAAGGCCATCAGTGCTTGGTGATGGTGCCTTTACCTTCCAGTACATGCAGTAGCTTCCAGACACTGGTTGCACATTCTCATCTTGAACCTGAGCTGAGAGATGTTAAAAGGGGACAATTCCAAAGTAAAACCAAATAACAAATATATCTTTAGTGGTGTAACAAAATGTATGTTCTAGTGCACTCATGCAGCCTTTGCACTTTTGACACTGATATCAATATGAATAAATAAAAGGTGTGCTCATTCATTACATGCTAAATGTTGAGGGAACTCACAAAAAAAAAAAATTTCTACCACTGATGATTGTTAAGTTGAATACACAATAACAAGTAACAAGGATAGGGCTACTAGTGCTACCTTGTTTTGTACGTTTATATTTGTTTCCTATCATGTTTCCTATCACAAATCTAGTTAGTTCAGCTGTAGAAAAGGGAGTGTCAGATTCCTTTTGGCTTATTGTTACGCTTAGCTTCGCTTTCTCGTTCTCATGGATTAATATATGCCTCAAGCATTGCAAGGGGGAGATGTTGCAGCCCAAGTTAGATGATTTGCAGAGAGAGAATTATAGAAAAGTCCATAAACATTTCTACTGGAGATTTTGAAATATTTCATTTTGCCTATAGCCATATCTCTAAAAAAAACATAAGGAAAGATCTTGTCTCTCTGTGAATATTCCTAATAATAATAATTAAAAAATGAAAAAAAGAGAGCAGAGCAAGAGTATGATATGGGGTGTAAATACAGTAACTGTTTTCCAGTTTACCTTGGTTCTCTGTATGTCTTTGATGAGGACCACTTTGGCAGTGTATTGGCGAGTGTTGGTGGCTCAGCAAGGCAGCAGCCCCGGCCTCCAGTRTTCCATTTGTCTGTGAATCCCTGTAGTGATAGAGCGACTGAAACAYTTAAAAATACTTGGC